ATGTAAAGATTTAAACTTGAATCTTGTGTCTACAACATCTTGTGCCTATCTACTTCCATTTACAAATCTCCAACACGGGTTATTTGCATAATATAAAGTTTGAATACTTTATAGATCATTCAAACATTATATATGCAAATAAAGCATACAGCCTTCGATTTTGTTTTTAGTACTGAGAATGCAACCAGGGGCTCTCTACCACTGATAAACATCCCCAGGATTTTTTATTTATTTTAAGAAACATTTCTCCGAGACACTAAATATTGTGGAGGAAAAAGTTGGTAGAAACCTTAAGGACACAGACATAGGTAGAGAGTTTATGAACAAAAATCAAACTGCATGGGGGAAATACTTCAAAGGACCAACAATTGGGATCTCATCTTTTTGAAAAGTTTCTGAACATCAAAAGCAATCACCAACAGAGTAGAAAAAAAAAACCCATGAATTGGGAAAAACTATAGCAGACTGCCCTTCAGACAAAGGAATATAAAGAACTGAAAAAAGTCAGGCCTCTAAAATTCAAAGACTCAATCCAAAAATGAGCATCTGAGATGAGTATACACCTCACAAATGAAAAGATACAAATGTCAAATAAGTCTATTAAAAATATTCAATATCATTGGTCATCCAGAGATGCAAATTAAAACAATACTAAGATTCACAAACAAGGGCTACTGTCAAGAAGTCAATCAATAATGAATGCTGGAGAAGCTGTGGGGGGAAAAGACTGTGGCTTCCACAGCTGGTGAAAGTGCAACCTGACACAACCAATCAGTATGGAGACTCCCTAAAAACTCGGAGTGAAGCTTCCATTCCACTGGAGGTCCCATTCAAGCCAGCTATCCATCTCCTAGGTACTTTTCCAAAAGAACTTAAATCATAATACCACAGCAATATATGTGCACCCATGTTTTTAGCAGCACAATTTGTCATAGCTAAATCTTGGAAACAACCCAGATGCCTATCAACTGAGGAATGGATAAAAATCATGGTATTTTTACACAATGCAGCATTACTAACAACAACAACAACAACAACAACAACAAAACCCAACAACATAAATTTGAGGCCTTTGTTAATAAATGGATGCAACTAGAGCCCATACTCATAAGTGAAATAAATCAGACCAACATTTGTGAACATATTGTCTCATTAGTAGCAGAACATGAAGGAGTAAATGAAATATGAAAGGTACACTAGACACTGTGAAAGGGAAAGAATATGTTCAATGGGAAGTAAAAACTTGGATGAGGAGAAGGACAAAGGAAAGAAGGGAAAAATATATATGCAAGATTATTTGGATAACTGTACTGTCAATCTCTGCTGGTCTTTTGAAAGGAGCAGTTCATGCTTGAATTTTGTTTTCTTTTTATTCTTATTTTTCTTTTTAATTTCTTACAACACTTTTGCTGTTGTGTTGTTTTAATTAATTTTACAGGTTTATATTTGGTAACCTAAACAACTAATTTGAAGATCATACCATGCAATACAGCAACCACTTTTGAATTCCTATTATTTTGTTGACTGAAACTTTGTACCATTTTTTTAAAAAATGTATTTAGTACAGGGTCTACAGGTCTCACTACACAGATGGGACTTGTAGTGACCCTCCTGTTTTCAGCCTACCAAGCACTGGGATTACAGGCGCAGGCCACCATGCCCAATTTCAACTGCAGTCTCAGCACACCCCCAGGAGTGGGAGCGGCATAAAACACTGCATCTGCCTAAGCAGGTGTTTTAATCTGCTGAGCTATCTGGCTGTCCCTGTATCATTTCTAATTCCTGCCTGCTTTTCTGTCTGTCTGTCTGTCTGTCTGTCTGTCTGTCTGTCTGTCTGTCTTTCACTATTCTGTATACTTTAAAAATAATATAAAAGAAAAGAAAGAAAGCATTGGTCTGAAATGCCCAGGCCTGGCCTCACACTTGTATCTAGGTGTTAGCTCACCAAGTAGCTAGTATGGCAGGTCCATGCCGTGCACCAGCCTGCACGTCTCACACTCTTATCAACATGAATCAAGTGCTACTTTCCCACAGCTATGGAAGTATGTCCACTTCCGGATAAATATCAACAGTTCTTTCCACAAGTTTTGTGTGATGCTTCATGCTATATCCTTATTATTTAGATAATATCTACACAATGACATTTAGGCTTTTCCAGGTATTTTGGATCATCAATAAAGGTCCACTGACTATCATTTATATACACCATCATGAGAAAGTCTTCATAACTATTGTGGCTTGAAGAATCTTACTCTGATGGCAAATTAAAGATCCTAAAAGTTATGTTTTAATGTAGGATTTCTCATTCTAATTTTTTTAATGAATGAACTCTTTTTGTCTTCAAGATAGACTTTTTAAAATATATATTATATTCCAAAGCCAAGGCATGAAGACCTGGGCTTTTAAAGAAGGAAGTCTGAGCTTCCATCTACTATCACCTGTCTCACTTAGGATCCCATTATCAAAGGTGACTTAAGTTTTATTTGCATTTATTTGTTGCTGGGTTTTGTGGCTACCCATGTTTTACTGTCATATACTGGAAGTAGCTTCAACACATTAGTGAATACAACCTCTCTGGAATAATCAGCAGCATTAATTTCTCAAACCTCAAGTAGTCTGTCTTGCCACTTAGATTGTTAGTGTCATCCGTGCCTACATTTGTTCCTTTGTTCACTATTTCAATGCACTTTTCAAAAACAGTACTTAGAAACCAGTACTCTGTGGGAAGTTCTGCTTTACCTATTACTGCTGAAAGTAAACCAAAAGGGTTGAAAGGGGGCTGGGGAGAGGGCTCAGTGGAATAAGTGCTTCCCTGGCAAGCGCAAGGGCCTGAGTTCAATCCCTGGTTCCGAAAAAAAAAAAAAAAAAAAAAAAAAAGGTTGAAAATAAACTGTAAAATGCACCCTACAGAGCAGAGATCCAAACCAGAGCAGTTTCAAATGCAGATCGACAAGGAGAAGGTCCTGTGTTTGATTCCTAGTAGCAAAAAAGAGAGACAAATGCAGAATCTGTGACTGATACTAACTGAATAAAATCCTGACTGAGAGAATACCCAGAGGCAGCAAGAGTCCCTGGCTATAGGCTCATTTCTTCATTATTTGCCTGCTTATAAA